CCTCCACTTCTTCTCCCATGATGGAAACAGGGTTTGATCTGAAATCTACAATCATCTCTTTTGTTTTGTTGACATTCAAGATGAGATGATTGTTCCCACACCATGCCACAAAGCAGTCCACCAGCTCTCTGTACTCAGCTTCCTGTCCATCTCTGATACACCCAACAACTGCAGAGTCATCTGAGTACAACAACAGACCCACAATCCCATTCTCACCCTCCAGTGTACCTCCAGGAACACGGAACAGCTTCTCCAAGTCCACAAGACTGCATGACCCCTAAAATAACAATAAGCTGACAAACTTAAAAAAGAAAGAAAAGATTATTAGAATAAATTAATTTAACACAAAGTCAAACATATTAAAGGGTTTAAACATTGGAATTATACATGTTTGAGGAAAAACAATAACAGAAGATCTTTTTCTTTTTGATTTTTTTTCTACCTGGATTACTGAGATGCATTAGGACAATAACATAAGATTTATTTTATTTTGTCTTATCAGCAAACAGCAAATCTCTATGGGGTCAAACCTCTCCTCTCCCCAGACTTAAAGGGGACCTATTACGCAAAATTCACTTTTTAAAGAGTTTTTTTACTCAACTTTGGGTATGTACTGCTTAAGAAAACAGTCCTAAGACCAAAAAAATGCACCCAGGTGCATATTTACTGTAAGTAAATGTATTTTTAATGTATATTAATGACAAGTTTTATACTTCTGTCATTTTGTGATGTCACAAGCCGTACGACAACCCACCGCCACCTGCGTTCAGCCCCTCACCTAGCAACCCCCAGGTGAAGCTCCACCTCCTCAGTATAAAAAGCCRTCACGGTTGTTGTTGTGTAATGTGTAGCTCGTTTCACAACAAGCCTCCAATAGGGCAATGGGTAGAGTGTTGGACCAGAGAGTGGGAGACCAGGGTTTGAGGCTGGCATGGACAGAGTTTAATTATTTATTTATTTTCGTTCGTTATGAACACATTTTCTCATGTACCTCTATTGTTTAGCTTATTAAAACCTTGTTAAAGCCTATTTGTTCGAGTTTCTGAGGTATTTTGACCGCTGCTGCTNCTCTGTCTCTCTCTCTCTCTCTCTCTCTCTCTCTCTCTCTCTCTGTCTCTGTCTCTCTCTCTCTGTCTCTGTCTCTCTCTCTCTCTCACACACACAATAAAAAATTTGAGCCTTTAATAAAACCTTTTCTGTGTGAAGGCAGCGTTAAATCTACTGCTCTCTTTTTTTTTGGTTTATATAACTTTGTTTTCACTCTAATTAATTCCAAATACTTGGTGCCACTTGAAGCACAAACTTATCTGAATGTAGAATCAATCAGGAATATTCTGCCATAACCTTTGGTTTTTCTAACTTTTAGAATAGTTTCACATCATTTCAAAAATAAATTTCTCCAGAAATATCCATCCATCCAACCATCTATCCAGCTACTTGTATGTTCTTCTTCTTATCCGGGGTCAGGTCTCGTGTACAGCAGCACAGAGACCCAGACTTCCCTCTCTCCAGACACTTGGGCCAGCTCATCTGGGGGAATCCCAAGGTGTTCCCAGACCAGCTGAGGAACATAGTCCCTCCAACGTGTCCTGGGTCTTTCTCTGGGTCTCCTCCCAGTGGGACGTGTCCAGAACACTTCACCAGGGAGGAGTCCAGGAGGCATCCTAACCAGATGAACCACCTCAACTGGCTCCTCTCGACGTGGAGGAGCATCGGCACTACTCTGAGTCCCTCCTGGATGACTGAGCTTCTCAGCCTATCTCTACGGGAGAGCCCAGCCACCCTGCGAAGGAAACTCATTTCGGCTGCTTGTATCCGCAATTTTGTTCTTTCGGTCATTATCTCATCTATGGTCTTTCGTGACCAATGATGAGGGTAGAAACGTAGACCAACCGGTACAGCGCCCACATCACTGCAGACACAGTACCAATCCACCTGTCGATCTCCCGCTCCATTCTTCCCTCAATCATGAACAAGATCCCGAGATACTTAAACTCCTCCACTTGGGGCAGGACCTCTTCCCTGACCCAGAGAAGGCACCTTACCGGTTTCCATCTCAAGACCATGGTCTTGAATTTGGAGGCACTGATCCTCATCCCGGCCGCTTCACACTCGGCTGTGAACCGCTCCAGTGAGAGCTGGAGATCAGGATCTGATGAAGTCAACAGGACCACATCATCTGCAAAAAGCAGAGATGTGATCCTAAGGTCACAAAAACGGATCCCCTCAACACCTTGGCTGCTCCTAGAAATTCTGTCCATAAAAGTTATGAACAGAATTGGTGACAAAGGGCAACCTTGGCGGAGTCCAACTCTCACCGGAAACGAGTCCGACTTACTACTGGCAATGCGGACCAAGCTCTGGCACCGGTTGTACAGGGACCTAACAGCCTGTATCAACGAGCCTGGTACCCCATACTCCCGGAGTACACCCCCCCTCCCCCACAGGAGTCCCTGAGGGATACATTCAAATGCCTTCTCCAAGTCCACAAATCGCATGTAGACTGTTTGAGCAGACTCTTATGAACCCTCCAGGACCCCGCTGAGGGTGTAGAGCTGGTCCAGTGTTTCCCGACCAGGACGAAAACCACACTGCTCTTCCTGAATCCATGATTCGACTATCCGACAGACCCTCCTCTCCAGGACCCCTGAATAGACCTTACCAGGGAGGCTCAGAAGTGTGATCCCCCTGTAGTTGGAACACATCAGGGGAACTGCCCCCAATGTTCACATAATATTGTAGAGTTGCATGAAACAACACAACCACAACACCCAGAGCCTTAAGGAACTCTGAGCGAATGTCATCCACTCCCGGCACCTTTCCACTGAGGGGCTTTTTAACCACCTCGATAACTTCTGCACCAGAGATTGGAGAGTCTGACCCAGGGTCCTCAGGTTCTGCTTCCACATTGGAAGATGTGCTGGTGGGATTGAGGAGGTCTTTGAAGTAACCTGCCCACTGGCCCACTTGGACTTCCGATACCTATCGGATGCTTCCACAGTCCCACAGGCCAAAAAGACCCGATAGGATTCCTTCAGCCTGACAGCATCCCTCACCGCCGGTGTCCACCAGCAGGTTTGAGGGTTGCCGCCACGACAATCAACGACAACCTTGCGGCCACAGCTCAGGTAAGATTCTTCGACAATGGAGGCATGGAACATGGCCCACTCGGACTCGATGTCCCCCGACCTTCCCCGTAAAATGTTCAAAGTTCTCTTGGAGGTGTGAGGTGAAGCTCCGTCTGACAGGAGACTGACAGACGTTCCCAGCAAACCGTCACTATATGTTGGGGTCTGCCAGGTCTGACTGGCATCCTCCCCCACCAACGGAGCCAACTCACCACCAGGTAGTGGTCAGTTGACAGCTCCGCCCCTCTCTCCACCTGAGTGTCCAAAACATGCGACTGCAGATCAGATGAAACGACAACAAAGATATTTTTAATTACTTTTAACAAACTTGCTCTATTTTGTCATCTTGTGCTTCTTTTACTTTTTAGGTACTTTGCCTGCTAATTTTAGCCTTTGAAAATGGTATTGCTACATTTATCCTTTAGCTACAATTTTGCTACATTTAGTGTTGAGTTAGTTTTTTGTCCTTTTTATTTTGTAGTCTTTGTTTTGCTACTTTGCTAAGCTTAATATTAAAGTGCCTGTGGCATCAAATTTCACTAAAAAATGAATACATTTTTGGAAAGAAAATCTTAATAAGATGTTGCAAAACAAGTTTCACACTGCCGAGACTAACAGTTGTTGAGATATTCACATGTGCAGAAACAGGAAATGATGTCAAAGAGGAATGTCTGCATGTAAACAAAGTGCTACAACAACTAACAACAGACTGTGGAAAAGAACCTGATGTTTCTTTAGATTATTTTGAGTCTCTATCAGAGAGATGAAAAAGAGTCAGAGTTCAAATAATACTGTAAGTGTCTCAATCCATGGGTTGCAACCGACGTAGACACGGCCCATGCTGGTCTCAGTCTATGTGGGTCGTAGGCTGCTCGTGTTGGCTGCATAAACGGCTGTGAAATGAGACGTCTAGTCAACGGAAGACGTGCATGACCACACACTGCCTCACTACCATGGTGATACATTTTTTATCACAACGCTTCAGTTGTTTTTTTGAGGTATAACTTCATAAAATTCAGTTTTAATAGAAAAATGTTACAAATAAATAAATAAAAAAGCATTAGGGTAATAATTTGGGTTTAGCTCCAGTACCAGTACTTGTAATTGCATTTTATTTAACATCTCGTTGCAACAAAAAGTTTCTTCAGCTAAGTTTTTTAACTTACGTTCTTCAGTCTGTGATAAATTTCCAAACCCTACTGTAAAAAAAAAAGTCCACCATCACTGTTTTCCTGGTTTATTTGCTGACGATGCAATGAATTCTAGGATACGGTCAGCTGTGTAGGATAATCAGATGCAGTCTATGTTTTGGGGGTTTTGTCTGTTGCATTTGTTGGCTGCATGAGGAGGCACCTATGAATTGGGACAGTCTACGGAAGGGGTTCTTAACCTTTTTGACCTACGTGAATTGATAATTATTCTAAATCTTGGTTTAATTTGTATTGTATTTGCAATACAATACAAATAATATAACTAAATAAAATACACTTACAGTTTAAAAGTAAAACTCTTGTCAAAAAATCACAAGACATGATTATGACAAATATTTTTATATTGTAACCTGCCCATAACAATTATCTGAACAAATACAAAGGTCAGTCAACACACCACTCATGCTTATCAACACAAAAACATTTTTAACATAAACAACAACAAAAATAGACAATTCAATAAAAGTTGTGATCATAAAAATATTTAATGTAAATGTTTTAAATAAAAAAACAGTAAAAATAACTTTGATAAAGTACAAATGAAAATAAAGCCTTTTTAAACTTTTACAACCAGAAGCTGCTCTTCACATTAGTGACAAACAATAACAGTAACAACAGCTTTTTGACAAGTTAAAAATTTCTTTAAAATACATTCAAAATGTTTAAAAATAAACTACAAAAAATTAATTTAAGGTGCAAATTAAAATATAGTTGTATCTGCAACTGTATTTGATAATGTTTTGAACTTTTAAAATATTACATGGTAAAAACAGAAGCTGCTCTTCATATTAGTGACAAACTTTGGTGTTTTTTGATGAGTTACTTTCATTTTTGCTTCTACTTTTCATTTAAAATAAGTTTCCATTCTCGGCAGGTTTCTAAGGTTCTTCTTCTACATACAGTATTAAAAATGTTGTTAAACAACTGAGCGGCGCACTATCGCAACTAGTGGTGAGAAAGTGTATTGCACCTTTTTTAAAATCACTGTTGTTCTTTTGAGGCCCTCAAGGTGGCGATCTGCCGCGGCCCGTAGGTTAAGAATCTCTGCCATAATTGGTCTCCTTTAACAATTCCAGCTCTGCTGAGAACTATATAAAAAAAGAAACTTTCCTTTCCTCTGGGAAGAAACATGTTCCCATAGAGATTAGCTGTTTGTTGATAAAACAAAATAAAAACAAATCTTATGTTTCAGTGACATTTTGGGTTTTTGTTTTTGTTTTAGTTAGATGTACATTTCATTTACTTTAGGTCTGAATGTTGTTTCATCAGTCTGTCAATAATTAAACCACAAAGTTTTCAAAAGAAGCAATAAGAGTATGTTATTGAACCACCTTTTCCACTAGTGCCACTTAGTGTAGTGTCGGTACGGTTCGGTTCCAAGCCATTTCCATTAGGCCAGATTCATGGAACCGGCCCATTTTTAGTACCTACTTGGTTGTGGTCAGCTCTAGCTGACACCAAAATGTGACGTCAGAACACTGTTTGTCACTGATTGGCTAGGGGGTGGAGTCACTGGTTGCATCTAAGCTGCTCAAGACTCCATTTTTTTTTTTTCAATTGTAGCAGTGACATTAGTCTTGTTTCCATCCAATTTGAATTTTAATTTTTAGCAAATTTTTAAAATTTCAAAAGTTATTCATCAAATGTGTTTTAATCTCTGATTTTGCGCATTACCTTTATTTATTTTATTTTATTTTTTCGAAAAACCCCAAAACCACCTCCACCAACCGCCCAAAACACACCCACTGGGAACGGACTGGACCGTCAATGGAAAAGCACCCAAACTGACCCGTTCCAACACTGACCGTACCGACACTACACTAAGTGGCACTTTTAGAAAAGTGACTTAAATGTTCTCGAGTCTACCTGTTGAACTATTCACATTCCTTTCTATAGTTTACGTTGAGTTGTCTGTCCCTCACCACCTCCTCTGTCTCCTCCAGATTTTCTCCAAACTCTTTGAGGTGGCTCGGAGTCGAGCTCCTTTGGGAAGCCTGATCCCGGCACCGCGGTCTCGGCTCGCCTCCAACAACAACGTCAAGAAGAAAAACTAGCATCACGCCACCATTTATTGCTTCACTTTCTGCTTGGTTTGAAACTCTGTTGTCTTATGTTGACCATAGATCAGGGTTCCTCAGCTGCAGGTTGAAGGACTCTGTAGTTTCTGGACGAAGCAAGTGAATGTGTTGGGTCATTTGTTGAGTGTGATTCAGGTATTTATTGGAGGGCGTGGTCGTTGCTGTCACCATCTCCACCTTCATCGCCATGTATGTCAGTGTGTAAATGAAGAGCACGACCACCTTCTCTATATGCTCATCGTGGTTCAGATGCTGAGCTGTGTTCAAACCCAGAGTTTACAGCTTTCCTCACGGTTCTCCCAGGCTCAGGTCTGAACAAACCCAGGGAAGGTTTGGGAACCTGGGTGTACCCAGAGTCCAGCAGGTCATGTTTTAGTTAGTCATCTGAATTTCATTTCATTTAATGTTGGCCTACACTGACGTGTCAGTATTTTATCATCAGTACACCGAGCAAAAACTGTTCAAGCACTCTGTAATCAAACCCTGCAGAAACCAGGATCACTGAAGACCAGAGGACTTGGTCACGTTGTAGCAGAGAAGTACCAAATGAACTAATGCCCTTATGGGACGGTTGCAGCTCTAACTTAGATCACAGTGATGCTTGTTGTGATTCCACACTTAGCTTTCTTCACCTGATTCTTTTCTACAGAGCTACAGAAAGAGGCTAAACACGTTGTATTCTAGGCTTCCTCTGATTGTCCTCGCAGTAAAACGTGAAGGATTGAGAAGCCAGCAGGCAGATTTGTTGCTTCCTGTCCATCTAAAGCAGAACTGGTTTGTCAGTTTGTGGAAAACATCAGACTTCTTAGTTGAAGGCTTCGGCTTTTATTTCTCCTGATGTTGCAGGTCAAGAATTAAAACTATGAATGATGAAAAGCACTCGGCCTTTTTTTAAATCAAGCTTTGATCAAATGAGTCTGAAGAGCTGGACTGAGGTCTGAGCTTCAGGTTCTACACAAATCGGTTTACTTCCTCACAACATCCAGTACGCAGGGAGAATCTGAACTTTTGTGTGGTTTGAGTCCAGTGTGTGGCCTTCAGCAGGCCCAGCACCACGGCTGTTTGTAGAGCTAAATTTGTTCTGAGTCAAGTAAGGGGTCTCTGCAGTAGGTTTTGTCCTGTGGGCGGAGACGGCCCAAGAGACGCGATTGGTCGTATTGACGTTGGGGTTTGAGGAGGCTGGAGGCAACGAGGAGTAGCTTGATCGAGTCGGGCAGGAAGCAACATGTTTTTCTTTAAGATTAATTTTAGTCGTAACTTTAGAAATGAAAGTGCTAGCTGCACGGAATTTGAACGTCGTACTTTAAGATTAATTAACATCGTACATGTGAAAGGACGCGTAACATTATGGCTTGGTTAAAACATCCCTAACCAGCCTGTACAGGCTGGTTAGGGATGTTTTAACCAAGCCATATTGTTACATGTCCTTTCACATGTACGACGTTCAAATTTCGTGCAGCTAGCACTTTCCTTTCTCAAGTTACGACTAAAATTACTCTAAAAAACACGTTACTTCCTGCCTAACACGACCAAACTACTCCCCGCTGCCTCCAGCCTCATACCCCACCGTCAGTCCGACCAATCACGTCTCTTGGGCCGTCTCCGCCCACATCAAGACTTCCGCCAATCACGAGCAGGCACGTCTCCGCCCACATTGACCTCGGCCAATGACGATTTGGACCGTCTCCGCCCACATTAAGACCTCGGCCAATGACTATTTGGACCGTCTCTGCCCACAGGACAACACGTTCTGCAGAGACCCCTACTTGTCTGATAAGGTTCTAAAACCTTCCAGGGTGAACATTTTCATCTAGAACCTGGTGTTTTCAGGGTGGAAACAGTTTGAAAGTATAAAAATCATGTTTGATGTTTTCAGCTGGACACAGCTGAGACCTGTAGAGAATTTTAATCCTACTTTTTACCACGAGTGCTCCTCCCTCTGTCATTACTGCTCATCTTAAAGCATCAGAAGTGTTTGAGCTGCTTCATGAACCACAGGAAGCCTTGAAGCTGAGCTCAGTGTTTCTGCTGTCTGAAGCCAGAGTCTGGAAACAGAAGAGCCGTGTCCAGATCAGAGGTCCGCTCCTGTCGTCTGAACCGACACATCTGTCCACCGATGACATCATCACTGTCTTATTTGTTTTTGTACAGCTTTGTGTACTCACAGGACTCCTGAATCCAGTCTATACATATATAAATATCAACTTTTCTAGACCTTTTTTGTAGCTGGAAGAAGAGTTGGGCTGTAGACCACGTTAGGCTCACTGGATGTTTAAAGAATGCTTTTGTGATATTTGTGAAAATGTCTTTTTTTTACATGAATATATATAAATATACGTTTGTAAAATTAATCTTACATGAACACTGCTCCTCCACCTCCTGCTGTCAGAGAATGTTTATATTCTGAATCTTGTTCTTTGCCTGTTGCATTTTAAATTTTCTTTAAGTTATTTTTCAAAACAATAAAAGTTAGGAAGGCCGACCATTTTTTCCCTATTTTTTTAGCAAATGAAAGTCATTATAAAATGGTTTGACTGAATGTGAGCAAGGTCAGTAACCTTTGAGGATTCAAGGATTTTATCGGCTCACATCTCCATATTTACAGAACAAAATTTGCCGTCCTCAGCAGCAGTGCAGCTGCCGTGCCACATGGCGATAAAATGTTCAGCTCTCCACAGCTTCTTGAGGACATCTAGACGCTGATGGCCTTTCCTGACCAGACGGGTAGTGTTGGCTCTCCAGGTGAGATCACAGTGTGTTTGCACACTTTCATATTGATGCAGAGGTTATTTTCATTGCACCACTGCACCAGGTGTTCAACCTCCTCTCTGGATTTGGACTCGTTTGTGATACGTCCCACTACTGCTGTGTCGTCTGCAAACTTCACTATATGTCAGCTGGGATGTCTTGCTGAGCAGTTACAGTGGTTTGCAAAAGTATTCATACCCCTTGAACTTTTCCATATTTTGTCACATTACAACCACAAACAAATATATTTCACTGGAATTTAATGTGAAAGACCAACACAAAGTGGTATACAATTGTGAAGTGAGCCCCCTCCTGTTTAATCTGCTGACATATACAGTGGTTTGCAAAAGTATTCATACCCCTTGAACTTTTCCATATTTTGTCACATTACAACCACAAACAAATATATTTCACTGGAATTTAATGTGAAAGACCAACACAAAGTGGTATAC